TGTACTATCTTTTGATATAATTTGACATGTCATTTAAATGATTGATTATTTTTATTTATATGAGACTTATGATATTAAATATATTTATTCATTTAATGATATGTAAAAGTTATATCAAAAAAATATAGAAAAAGATTCTCAATATAGCACTACCTTTGTTGCATTTGGGTGTCCCTGTGTTCTCAGTTATTTGTACATCGGGCCCCAGCCCATAAGGACATAAGGCCCATGCGGGGTTTTATTAACTATTCTAGCCCAAACTTGATACTGGTCCTGGATAGCACCAGACAGACAATGGAGCAAAATACAAACATTCTGTTGTCTCTCGATTCTAAATTCTTCCCTCAAGGACTCCCCCGTTTGAATGCTCTCAAGCTTGAACCATTTTTTTGTGCAGAAAAGTTGAATAGTTTTATTGTAATTTAGTTGAATAATAAAAATCTAGAAAAAGCATTTGATATGGTGATGGTAATTATTGACCACATGAACTGAAATGATTTTTACAAAGGCAAAAAATGATCAAAATGTGAAAAAACAGGGACATTACACAGAAATGACATTAGCCATTTTTATCTCGGTGTGATCAATAATATTGCGCTTTGAATTCAAAGGCATTTTTCCAACTGAAGAGACTTCACGTGGCCAGAATTGCTTTTGAGTACAATGATAAAATGATACATTTATTACACTTACAAGACATATCATGTTAAGAAATTTTTTTTTTTTTTTTATTTCTCGCCTGGTATCCAGGGTTTCGGTCCGATTAATCCAGACTCAACCCGCGTCGCGCACCTGAAAATGGTGGGTGAGTCTCCCAGCGGGAGCTACTGCGTACGCAAAATCTTAAACTCGAGACCTTATTAAGCTGGAACAAGCCACTTACCACTTGATCCAACCCCTCGTTGATAAATTATTAAATTATTTAGTGTAGCTAAAATAGCTTAACCAAAAGGGTACTTAACTACTCATAATATAACTTCAAAGATTGGATTCACTGATAAAAAGGTTTCATTTTATACGTTAGACTCAAAGTTTAAGTTTTAAAATCAATATTTAAAGAAATTAATTTTTTTAAAATACATAAAATTGATGTGGGAATATATCCTTTAAATCATCTAAAAAACGAATAATTTCAAAATACCTAAAAATTAACTTTAAAATACCCTAATCATAAAAATAAATAAATAATAAAAAAATCACAATATTTCATTAATTTGGTAACCCTCTTTGGAAGAACAAGTAATGGAAGGATGAAATTGTATGTTTCCATATTTCATCAGGACAATCATTGCAGTTAATCTAACTTAATTGGACGGTGAAGATTACAAGATACTTTGGCCGCAAACGTGGCAGCCTCTAAATTTCGCGTTAAAACTTTTATTATGCCTAAAAATTTACAACCAATAACTCAACTGGGTCCGCTCCTTTCATAACCTTTCACCGTCCGATTCACAAGCCACAGTTTGTACCCTTAAATCGAAAATATTTCTTCTTTCTTCTTCTTGTCGCCAAGAATCCCTACCCCAGAGTTGAATCCTTAAGTTTGTCTCTGCTCAAAGCTCTAGTAGTATTAGAGGTACCTTTTAAAGTTTCTGCCTTGAATTTTTTTTTTCCTTAATTTTCTGTATATTATTTCCTTGGTTTGTTAGGATCTTATTAACCTTCGATTTGTTAACTTGCCCTTGTTATTCTTTCAGCAATTTCTTTTGATCTTTTTAGCATTGCTTAAAATTTTTTTTCTCCCCTTTATCTAATTTTTTTATAGTTGCTGAAATACTTCAGGATTCCAATTCCGGGTTTTGCATATCCAATTTTTGAGGGGTTTGTTCGGTTTGGGCGTCCAATTAGAAATTTTGGGTTTTGTCTCTTTTTGGGTTTCCAGAAATTAACATATTCGATCTTGGGTTTTTGTTGTTTGAGAACTTTTGCATCTGGGTTTTAGGATTTGACCCTGAATTTTAGTTTAGGAGGAAAAAAAATCATTTTTTTATGGCATTTGAATGCCAAGTAGAAACTGAGATTTGTAAGGATTTGACGGATTTTGTCGAGAGTTCCTGTGAAGAAGAACAAATTGAATCAAATCAGTTGAGTTCCAATCCCAAAACAGAAGCTCCAAGCTCTTCCGGTTTAAAGCAGTTGCATTCTAATGACGTTGTGGCAAGCTTTGGTCGGTCAATCACTGATCTCCCACTGGCCTTAATCTCCGAAATTTTAAATTGCCTTGATCCTAAAGAACTTGGTATAGTGTCTTGTGTGTCGACAACCCTGTATAGGATAGCATCTGAGCATCAGGTTTGGAAGGAATTCTATTGTGAGAGGTGGGGGCAGCCATTTGTCCAGGTGCCTTTGGACGCAGGACTGCCTGATGAGAAGTCATGGAAAGAACTATTTGTGGAGAGGGAGTATAGGAGTAAGACATTTTTAGGGCGGTATAGCATTGATGTTTTGCATGGTCATACTGAAGCTGTTCGCACAGTTTTCTTATTGGCTTCTGCCAAGCTCATTTTTACTAGTGGATATGACTCAGTTGTGCGAATGTGGGACTTGGATGGATTATCAATTGCATCATCAAAAACCCTTGGTTGTACTATTAGAGCAGTGGCAGCAGATACTAAACTTTTGGTTGTGGGGGGTACCGATGGCTTTATCCACTGTTGGAGAGCAGTTGAAGGTCTCCAGCACTTGTTTGACCTTAAGGGTTCTGAGGGTAGGAACTCTGAGTCTCGACTTTGGGAACACGAAGGGCCAATAACTTCTCTTGCCTTGGATTTTACCAGGATTTATAGTGGTTCATGGGACATGACTGTTCGTGTTTGGGATCGGTCATCACTGAAGTGCATACAGGTGTTGAGGAATGGTGACTGGGTTTGGTCTCTTGTTCCTCATGGCACTACAGTTGCTAGCTCATCAGGCTCTGATGTTTATCTGTGGGACACAACTAATGGTACTGTGATGAATGTTATTCGAAATGCTCATGTTGGTAATACTTATTCTTTAGCTCGGAGCCACACTGGAGATTTCCTTTTTACTGGAGGTGAGGATGGGGCAATACAGATGTTTGAAATCATAAGTGATGGTGATGAAACTGATATTTTGCAGGTTGCAACATGGATTCCCCACACGGGTCCTGTTTATTCCCTTGCATTTGAATTTCCTTGGCTTGTTTCAGCTTCCAGTGATGGGAAGCTTTCACTAATTGATGTTAGAAAGTTGTTGAGAGCTAGCAAGCGCAATATTAGGAAGATGGAATCAAGGGTTGAGGACTTCAACAAGAAAACTATTGAGCCACCACAGAGGATGATACATGGGTTTGGCTGCAATTTGTTCTCTGTTGATATTGGTGCTGATCGAATTGTATGTGGAGGAGAGGAAGGTGTTGTCCGGATTTGGAATTTCACTCAAGCTTTAGAAATTGAGAGGAGAGCTCGTGCTCTTAGAGAAATGCGATTTGAGAACAGGATGAGGCGGCGTCAGCTCCAAAGGGAGCTGAATGGTAAGGGTGGACGGACTGATCAATGTTCTGTTGCAGCCAAGAAGAACCCAGTAAATGGTGATAGGAATGGTGTATGGCATAGTAAACGTGGGATGAGCGGGAAACTGCAGGCATAGAAGCAGGCTGTCGTATTCTTCTTATTCTCAATAAAGTATTCATCTTTCAGCAGTTGTATAACCAGGATTATAGCTAATGTGTTGGAGCTTGAATGTTAACTGTTGATCCTTTTCCCTTTTTTTATCAGTTCTTGGCTTTTTAAAAATGGCTTTCTGATTATGATTCTTCTTAAGTGTGATATAATGATTCTTATATTTGTAGCTGGGTCTTGTTCAGATGGTTTCTCTAACAGGGTTATGTATGGTGTATGCTTGACACTAAGAAATTTCCTTCTACAATTCAATTAATTTGTGCTTTTGAAAAAATTTTCTGAATGACAGGTTTATCTTCTTATTGATAAAACAGACATGATGGATGTATTATTATTCTCCTTTAAAAAAAAAAAAAGGATGCATGGATTATGGATTTATGATGTTATTTGACGATGATAATGCATCCTGGTCCGTCCAGATAAATATACTAAACGCAGTTATGCTTCAGTCAAACTATTTAGATATGCATTCCCTTTCCCTCTTTGTTATTTGTACGATCAAATTGATCTCCCTCTCCCTTCAAAATTACTTTTAGGAAACATGAATTTTTTAGTGCATTGCAAAACATGAACAAATAAGAGAAAAAAAAAGTTTCATACAAAAATAAGATAAAAATCATTTATTTAAAAAAAAAAAAAAGAAAATAAAATACTGGTAAGAGAAATCTCACTTACAAAGGAGCAAAAACAGAGAAAGGAGGGAAAAACCCAACAAACACGCACCGGTCAAGTTGGAAACCCCCAATTGATCAATTGGGTTCAAGAAAGAAAACCTGTGAAAACAAAGGAGAAAGAAAGAAGGAAAGAACTCGCGGAAGCTCAAGATCACACCAAGAAGAAAGAGCTATGGGAGAAATCATTCTTGTGTTCGTTGTAGCTGTTTTGATGGGAATGTCAGGCGTGGCAAAGGGGCAATTCGCACAGACCCACTTCATTCACAATGGTTCCAAGGCATCTGCAATGTTTGTGTTGGGTGATTCTTCTGTTGATTGTGGAGAAAACACTCTGTTTTACCCCTTCCTTCACGAGAATCTTTCTCTGCTACCTTGCAATGGGTCCGATTCTACTCTTCTTCCTTCTCTTCTTGGTACGACTATCTTTCTTTTCTTGAAACTGTCTGTTCTTCACTTCAGCCATGAAAGATTACCTGCATTCGATTTGTTTTCTGCGTGTATTTTTCTTTCAAGAATCTTTCTCGAGGAGTGAATGAATGATCGTGGGTACCTGCTTCAATTCATGATTTCTCTGTTCTATGAACTGCGCCTTCGATATTTTCTTGGATGGTATCTGCTTAACCATTTCACGAAGTTGATTTTGATTTCAGTCCTGTAATGTCTTCTATGGAAAATGCAGCTGAGAAGATGGGTCTCCCAGACAGCGCACCATTCTACAGCCAGAATGGATCCGTTGATGGGTTGCTGAAGGGTTTGAATTACGGCTCAGCAAAAGCAACAATCATGAACCCTGGCACCCCCAGCTATCAGTCCCTTAACCAGCAGATACGCCAAGTTTTCGAGACATTCCAGTTGTTGCAGCTACAACTGGGTCAGGAAAAGGCATACAATTTCATTAGATCCTCCATATTCTATCTCTCATTTGGCAAAGACGACTATGTAGAGCTCTTCCTCCGGAATAATTCAGAAATAATGGTCAAGTACAGTGGCCAGCAATTTGCTCAGGTTCTAGTTGATCAAATGGTAACTGCCATGAGAGACCTCCATGATGCTGATGTGAGGAAGATTGTCTTTCTGGGAATACTGCCCCTCGGATGCACCCCACGTACAGTGTGGGAGTGGTACAATCTCACCGCTGGAGGTGACCAGAATGGTTGTGTAGAGGAGATCAATGAATTGGTTTTGGAATACAACACAATGATGGAGGAGCGCATTGTTGGGCTGAATGGAGAGTTACCCGATGCACAGATAGTCTTCTGTGATGTGTACCAAGGAATCATGGAGATCATGACTAACCCAAGAGTCTATGGTATGAACTAGTCCTCAATTCTACATTTTGATTGTTCAAAGAATCTGCAAATTTTCAATCATATTTCCAGTTAGATTTTGCACCAAAAACATGCTATAGTAATAAAGCTAGGCATTTCATGAATTGCAACATATAACAAGGTCTTGGTTTAAGTGTCTGAGATTTAACCTGTGTAGAAAGACTGATGTGTTTCTGTGTCACAAATGTAGGGTTTGAGGATGCAGCCAGCGCTTGCTGTGGGCTTGGTTTACATGGTGCCATGATTGGATGTCTGTCCATAGATATGGCTTGCCCAACAGCTTCATCTCATGTATGGTGGGATCTCTACAGCCCTACACGAGCAGTCAACTCCTTGCTGGCTGATTCTGCATGGTCCAGTGAACCCTTACCGGGCATTTGTCGCCCTGGAACGATTCATGACTTGGTTTACACTTCAAGGTTACCTCTTGTCTAAACAATATAAAAATGTGAAGTTGCCTGTTTCAATCTTTTGCTTTCTGCTTTAGATTCCAGCAATGTCTCGAATCTTATACTGAACTAGAAGTCAAGCAACTGTCAGATAGCCCTCATTTAGCATACACCCAATTTACAGAATTAATAAAACCTGAATTCTGGTTTTTGCGCCTACACAATATCTGAAAGAATCTCAATGGGAGACGACATAATTTTTAGGGCGTGGAGTTCCACTGTTATCCATGAAATGCTCAAAAAAGTAGTAGTAATAAACAAAACATCAACAGTGAACCATCAATATTAAATTATGAAATAGAAAAGAAGAATCCGAAGAAAAAGCATACGGAATTGAATTATAAGGCAAGCAAACCTCACTTTCCTTCTACCTACACTCTCTAGCATATTGTTACCAGTAGCAGTGCCTCATCTCCAGGTCAATCAGATACAAAAATGGCAGCTTGTCAAATTCCTCACTCTCTCCGAACTTCCTTCTCCCAACCCTCCTCTGGACAAATTAAGAATCGGCCTTCCAAGCCCCGTGTTCTCAAGGTGACTTGCTCCCACGCGCCGCTTCCTGGCCGAAAGCTTCGAGCGGCTGTAATCGGGGGTGGTCCAGCTGGTGCCTCCGCTGCGGAGGCCCTGGCTGCCGGGGGAATCGAGACCTTTCTCTTTGAGCGGAACCCATCTGCTGCCAAGCCCTGCGGCGGTGCCATTCCCCTCTGTATGTTGGACGAGTTCTCCATCCCTCCTCACCTCATCGACCGTAGAGTGACCAAGATGAAGATCATCTCTCCCTCGAACCTCGCTGTGGATTTCGGATCGAAGTCCCTCCGTCCCAACGAACACATCCCCATGCTCCGTCGCGAAGTCCTCGACTCCTTCCTCCGGTCCCGTGCCCAGTCCTCCGGCGCACAACTAATCACCGCCCTCGTCACCCATCTTGAGGTCCCCTCATCCCCTTCTTCTCCATACATAATCTACCACACAGTCAACAACTCCCGCAAAACCTTGGCCGTCGACGTGGTCATCGGCGCCGATGGAGCCAACAGTAAAGTCGCCAAGTCCATAAACGCTGGGAACTACACCTGCGCCATAGCGTTTCAGGAGAGAATCCGATTACCCGACGAGAAAATGGAATATTACCAAAATCTCGCGGAGATGTACGTGGGAGATGACGTGTCACCCGATTTTTACGCGTGGGTGTTTCCAAAGTGCGACCACGTGGCGGTGGGCACTGGTACGGTGTGCTCGAAACAGGATATTAAGATGTACCAGAGAGGA